ACGATTTTCTGCCAGTTAACAGGTGCGAATGTTATCCAATATGGCCCCGTATACAATTAATGGAACTGTGTTATAGGATTTCCCGATTTTTAAAGGAACAGACTGAAAAAACATGAATTTTCATGAGAAATACACTGCGAAACTATGATTTCGAACCAACGTAAAAGCGAATTGTACAATTTACGTTAAAATATGTCTGACTAATGACAAAACAAAGAGAAAATCTTAATGACAGTTATTCAAACTCATGATGGTTCATGAAACAATGCAAAAGTTTTGATTCTTATCATTGAATATTTGAAACTTTTACCTGTGTCATCTTTTCTCTGTTGGCTTTTGGGTTGAGGGGAGCTTCTGTCAACAAAACTGGGTGTTCCTCAGGGGCGATACGAAGCTCGTTGTAAAACGTGTGATGCCAGATCTGAAATTTCAAACACGTATTGTCTTAACTCAATGAAATTTTTCATGTTGAATTCTAACTGGTAACTACAATTTCAGTTACCTTCTCCATGTCGTCCCAATTGGTTACGATGCCGTGCTCAATGGGATATTTCAGAGTCAGAATACCTCGCTTGCTCTGAGCTTCATCGCCGACATACGAGTCTTTCTGACCCATACCAACCATCACACCCTGATGTCTTGGGCGACCGACGATGGATGGAAACACTGCACGGGGAGCATCGTCCCCTGCAAAACCGGCCTTGCACATACCGGAGCCATTGTCCACAACCAAAGCAGCAACCTCTTCGTCGGCCATTCTCAGTTTAATTCGTAGAAGCGGCGAGAAAGTGTATAAAAGTATTGAAACTGTCTCAGAGCTCAGTGCTTGAAATGATGTCGAGGGCTGCGAGCGGCTTATATAGGTAAGACAACTTGTTCCGTTGAGTGATTGGTCAGAAAGGTCTCATTTATTGTGTGATATTGAACTCATTCGAGCCACCGGTGATTCCAAATAGAAATGTCTGCGGGATTCCCGTTATGTTTTAATACAAACAACGCTTCAGCCTCAAAATTAAACAACCCTTTGTCTTTTTGTCAAATTTAGTGACTTTTGCAACCCACTAATGACTTGCATTTAAATTTTGGTAGTCAGCATTTCTATCGACTCAACCTTCTCACCATTAGCTTTCAGTCACAGCAGTAATTGTTCAACCACAAGCTTACTCTTGTTTAGCTTTTTTTCCGGTTGGAAACTCGTTCTTCACTTGAATGAAAGAAAAAAAAAAAACAATATTCTCCGTGATTTCTAATTAACGCCAGCGGAGTTAGCAAGGAGTCGAGTGTAAAACTAGCGTCTTCTCGCCATATTTGGTAATGAATCGAACGAATTGTTTAACACTTTGGTTAATTATAAAACAAAAAACTTTAGACTTTATTCACCTGTCTTTTCTGCTTAAACTGGGCCGAATAATCGATTATACACCTTACTGAAGAAGTTTAGCGTACTTCTTAATTTGCAAACTTCACAGTCATCATTTACGATTATAAATCCGCATTTCAGAAATTTCAGCTTCGTCTGAGGGTGCTGAAATCAAAAAGTTTTTAGAGTGAGTTTGAATTCCCCCAAAAGAATCTTTTGTTGTGCAATGAGGAAAGACGGAAAGCATTTTTTGTTTTGTTTTGAGCCCTGGCGACCAGGGATCTGTGGCCTTGTTCGATTTATAACCAAATATGGTAATAAAAGAGGATCTTCTTTTCTACTATAGTTACAGAGCTGTCTATCAAAATTCTCTAAGTTATTCATACCTGCGGAAGACTAGTATTGCAACATACGGATAATATAAGGAATTGTTCTCGCAGTTTCTTGTACCTTGAGATCGTTACTTCTACTGTAGAAAACGGGTAAAAAAAAATCGCATCTAGTTCACTTAATCCCGAAGAAAAAAGCCATTGAACGAAAAGAATCTTGTAGGACCACAGAATTGTTGAAATTTTCAGACTGAGCGTCGCTTTCCTCATAACGGGAGTCCCGTAGATATTTACATAAAGACTCACAGGTGCACCCACGCGTGTTCAAAAGCTAATTTCTCCCCACACTGTCATAGAATTTTAAGCAAACAGAAAATGAGTATGAGCGACTGATAGACAAAGGGTTCCATGCACACTCAGATCGCTTCTAACGATTGTTTTAACAAAAGTTATAACAATCAAGACGAGTTATTATTTCGAAGTATGAAAGAGTGCGCACGCAACGGTTCGAATGAAACTCACCGATATCATTAGTCTTGTTTAGTTTGTTCTTGCAATTCATATAAATAAATCATTTCCAAGTTTTATGAGTTCTTCCATTTTCAAAGCAAAACAAACTGATGACGAAAAGGTAAATGAAAAGCAAGCCAGGTTAACAAACACAAATGGGGAATAATATGTTAATTTCGGATTTAATGCGATAATTTCACCTGTAATGTAATGTTTTATAAATATCTCTATCATGAACAACTCTTTTAACCATATAAGGAAAAGAACAAAGTTTCGAGTCGTCTGATTCCTCGCGCCTCACGCTTTTCGAAGAAACACGATCGCCGAGAACTGACTTGCAGAAATTACGTGTCTTTTTTCCTATTTCTCCTTTTTTTCATAATCACATTACATCAATGCTAATTTTCCCAAACTTAGAGGAGAGGGGAACACCAAGGTTAATTAAACTTTGTGCCCTCTAACATCTACCACAATTATTATCATGTTAGACAGGTAGGATGATTTTTAAAATTCTTCTATCTACCGTACGAAAGGAGATACTTTTCCCCTTTTTTAATATGACATTGTAGTTAATTCATCTTCGTAATTCACAGAGTTATCTAGCCTCGATTACCAGCTTTTGTTTTGGAAATGAGCCCTCCTTCCTCCCCAAACCGAAGACCAGAGCAAAGAAATCAGCAGAGCGTGTACGCGTATAGGGGTTTTCGAAAATGCTGCCATCTCAAGGGTCTGACCCACCAGCTTGACCGCTGACCAACGAAAAGTGGTAGTCGGTAGTCGATCTCTTTTAGCTTCGAACTGTTCACCGCAAACATTTTAGACCTTTACCCAATTCAAATTTCCAATATTTTATGGGTAATGCAGATACTACAACTCCAGTGGTGCTTGTTGTGTACTTGGAAGTTTTCAAACCACTGAATCGCATGCAAGGGACAAATATTACATCTAAGAGTATCGTGTCAGATGCAATATTAGCTAGCCCGCGACATCTCTGAGCTTTGCGGAACAACTGAGAGAAACAAGAGAGAAAAGCAACCAAAAGTTTTACTAACAAGGGCAAAGCAGAAATAGAAACATCTTCGTGATCGATCGTCAAACCAATTTTAAACTTTTCAAATATGGCAAAATTATTTATTGCTGATAATTCCCCAAAAAAAAAAAAAAAAAACACGGGGTACCAACTTTCTGGGCCCACTAGCAGTCGCGGTATGTAATCACATGCAAAAAGGTTCAGAAAAGTGAAATTCAGAAGCAGATTACGTTCATCCGAGAAATGAAACAACAACGGCCAATTACTATTGTTCATGATGATACCCTCTTAAAGCGAGATTTTTTTGTCCAAGTCCGTCACGAGTCTTTAAAGATGTACTTACTGTACCAGCTTGCGAGTAGCAAAAGAAAAAATACTTTATTTACAAACCAAAATATGAGTCAGGTTTTCAAAGGCTCGATGATTACAATGAAGGCTGAGTAACCGCTCAGAATTTCAACACATTCAGGCTCTGTAGCTCAGCTTTGGCTCATGTTAGCGCTCAGGATAAGCCTGACAAAGTGATGGCTATATTTGGTGATTTGAATATAGAAGTTCGTGTACTTCAAGAATTCAATTTTAGTACATGATGCTCTATTGATTTTAGCGTTAACTGCAGCGTCTGCAACTTTGAGTATTTCCAACGAGAGACGGATTTTTCTACCAAAAAAGGTTATGAATGGGTGCTTGCGTTACGGCGTTCGGCGAAAATGCATTGAGGCGTGTGAATGAGCCTGTCTGCTAAATAAAGAAACTGATGTGTCACAAAATTACTCTAAGACAAAAATTCAAATTACGTTTACCTAACTCGGGTTTAAAAAATGGATAGCTCAGCGAAAAAAAATAATCTGGAATGAATTTGATGAAATTTTAAAAATAAATTAATGCTTCTATTTACTTCACATCAGTGCATCTTTTAATTGCTTCATCGCCAATGTTATACGCACGCTTGAAATTCTCTCTTTAAGTGGTTCAGTTGAATCCCGCAAATATTTGTATCACCAAAATAAAGAGGTGGCAGGTTTCAGAACCTGTTAGAGATGTTGATTATATAAATAGTTATTAAATGGATCTGCTGGAGGCAAGAATTGTCTCGAGTCTTCTTGGGTTTCCGTGGAAGAATATTATCGCTGTAAAATGCTAATTCGGTTGGCCTCAGTCGATACTAATAAACAAATTAATACATAATTCCCAACTGTATTCTATTAAAGCGGCAATCAATTCTGAGAGCAACGATTTTGTTTCGTAATAATTCCTATCCGCATATTTAATTTTTGAGCAAAATTATCACCTGACTCTGATTTAATCCGAGAAAATTAAAATAAATCAAGGAAATTAATTCATAAAACTTCGGTCTGAGAGACCTGAACTGGCAAAATCGCTGTCGAAGTTCACGCCTGTGGTTTATTCTCCATGTCCAACATATAAAACTGAAGAGGGTATATGATACAAACAAAGCCATACATTTGCATTGAAAGGCTTTGCAAGAGCACGCTCTCTTGATTGATCTCTATTATTTTACAAAAAAAAAAAAAATGTTCGGCCATGTCACTTCCTCTTGAACAACAGACGGTAGTATTGTCACATATTGCGTCCAAAAGCCTTAATTATGGCGCTTGGTACCCTCAGCATAAATTTAAGTCTGATGTGTTCGATTTATCATCGACGAGAGTGATCCAGTGCCAAATTTGGCGAATTTTAGCGTGGTTTTCATGGAATATTTACACACTTTGAAATAAACATGAGTTTTACCACCCGGAACTACATCATTCTATGCGTGTCCATTTTGAACCAATGACGTTCGAGCATTTGCCGGCTTAAAGCGTGAGCGAGGTCTATAAAACATCACTCTGAGAGCGGTTCGAAAAAGTACGATTCTTAGCAAAGGTTTGTGTTCAGTTCGTCTAAACTACGAAATGGCCGACGAAGACGTTGCTGCTTTGGTTATCGATAATGGCTCCGGTATGTGCAAGGCTGGTTTTGCAGGAGACGATGCCCCTCGTGCAGTGTTTCCCTCCATCGTCGGTCGCCCAAGACATCAGGGTGTAATGGTTGGTATGGGTCAGAAAGACTCGTATGTCGGCGATGAAGCTCAGAGCAAGCGAGGTATTCTGACTCTGAAATATCCCATTGAACACGGCATCGTAACCAACTGGGATGACATGGAGAAGGTAAGCTTTAGTTTTCAATGTTAATTCACAGTTCGCACCAATCACTCAACAACATTTCTTTATAATTTCAGATCTGGCATCACACCTTCTACAACGAGCTTCGTGTAGCGCCCGAGGAACATCCAGTTCTGCTGACAGAAGCTCCTCTCAACCCAAAAGCCAACAGAGAAAAAATGACACAGGTAAGGACGGTTTTCCTTAGGATCAATTTTGAATACGAAGAAAGAGCATTCGGATGACCCTATTGGTAAAAGAGTGCAAATTGGGCGTGGACACAAATCTCCTAGACCGCGTTACTCCTCAAAGATCTGCAAAAATTGTGTTTTCTGAGCCACATCTTTGCACCCGATTCAATTTAGTTACAGTCTGTGCGGATGGTTGCAACCACATTCGCCTCGACAGAGATATTCTCAAGGTACAAAACAACATCGTAAAGTACATTTTAAACGCTTGCTCGATTCGTTTAGCAGTATGAAATAAGTTCTATTCTCAAAGTATTTTACGGGTCAAATAAAGTAAACGGAAAGTTGAAACTGACAGGGATCCGAGATAGATTGTGCTTTGGTTACTTTACGACGAATTTGCATATACCGTACTTTGTTTGTTCCAATAAAAAAAAAAAATACTTTAAGATATACTCCACTGACATTAGGTTGAGTGCACACAACATTTCTGTCGCATTTTATAGCAAAATACCCCAATATTTAGGCTAGGAAGAAAATAATTTCTTCCTTTGGAAAGTACTTTTAATTTTTTCTAACCGAAGAAAAAAATCTTTCAAGGTTCTACCTGATCATCTGAAATAGTTTTGTGGCCATATATGGTAAAGAAAAGCGCCAATTGGTCAGAATTTGTCATACAAGCTGTCGTGAGGGTTGACTGATTTGTATGCACGTTCGGTTGCACCTTTTGTTTGAATTGTAAATAATTGACACCAGCTGATGGAAGACCGTTTTCGCCATGAATATATTGTGTTGAAAAATAAAACCTAAATAATGGGAGATCTAGAAGTAGCTCGGATAATCGAAGCATTATAATGTAAATTTAGTTTTCTCATAAGGCATGACGGCCTTTAAAGTTCTTTTAATGTGGTCACAGAGCGTGCTCATAATTAAAAATTTGACTGGAGTTTTAATTTATCCAACGTATGAATCGATCTTTTTCACCACGCAAGGTGTTCCGTATAGTAGTATTTTTTTTTTCTAAAATGTTTTTCTTCTTTCCATCAGATAATGTTCGAGACGTTTAACTCTCCAGCCATGTATGTAGCTATCCAGGCTGTATTGTCTCTCTACGCCTCTGGTCGAACAACAGGTATCGTCTTTGACAGCGGAGATGGTGTGAGTCACACAGTTCCCATCTACGAGGGTTACGCTCTTCCCCATGCCATCCTTCGTCTCGATTTGGCCGGCAGGGACTTGACCGACTACCTGATGAAGATTCTTACAGAGCGTGGCTACTCATTCACTACCACAGCTGAGCGCGAGATCGTGCGCGACATCAAAGAAAAGCTCTGCTATGTTGCTCTTGATTTTGAGCAAGAAATGCAGACTGCTGCATCCAGCTCTAGCTTGGAGAAGAGCTACGAGCTTCCTGATGGCCAGGTTATCACCATTGGAAACGAGCGATTCCGTGCACCAGAGGCCATGTTCCAACCCTCTTTCCTTGGAATGGAATCTGCCGGCATCCAAGAGACCACTTACAATTCGATCATGAAGTGAGATGTGGATATCCGTAAGGAATTGTACGCCAACACAGTGTTGTCTGGTGGCTCCACCATGTTCCCAGGAATTGCTGACAGAATGCAGAAGGAAATCACTGCTCTGGCTCCACCCACGATGAAGATCAAGATCATTGCTCCTCCTGAGCGTAAATACTCTGTGTGGATCGGAGGATCGATCTTGGCGTCACTGTCCACCTTCCAACAGATGTGGATTTCTAAGCAAGAATATGATGAATCTGGTCCCTCAATTGTTCACCGAAAATGCTTCTAAATAAAACGTCGATATTTATTGAGAACAAAACAAGCTAATATTTCAAGAAATTAACAAGACATATATAAGACAGACAGATTAAGGAATTTGTTATTGTAAAAATACAACTCTTGAATTCTTTGTTGTTATCTTGACCAGTATTCTATTTTTGTAGATATGTTCGTGTTGTTTATTTCCTAATAAAGATGAGGAAATATCTGTGACAGTGACTGTTGAAATAACGGAGGTATCGATCCTTCCTTCAAATAAAACAGTTGTCCAATTTCCATCGAGAAAACTGCCCCACTTGTTCTCTTGCGTCAAATCCAATGCCTAATAACAGGTGTTTTGTAATTACTGTAGAGTTAAATTTCTGTCTGCTAAGAATCAAAGGCCAAAGCTCTGAACATAAAAAGAAGGAAACAGTATACTCAAACAATTTAAATCTAAGTTCCTCGTGCATTGTAAATTGATTCCCAGGTCAGTCGAGTTCCCCTTGTGACACCATGAAAACAAAATGTGACAGCTCCAGGGGAGTGACTGGAATACATAACGTGAGACTGGAAACAATTAAACTTGTCTGGATTTTTGCATCGACTGCCAAATGGCTAATAAGAGGATGAAATTGCAATTCAAGAAATTTTCAACTTCACTGGCCTTCAAATTTTGATACCAGACAAGTATGATGCCATCGTAATATATAATCGCAATTCCTAAATGAACATTTTCTCTCCTATTGACTCTCTAAACATCGATTGCAAATGTCGTAACATTCCTTAGAAAGTAGTTTTAAAACATAAATTCTGCCTTGGATGCACTTAAGTACTTTTCAACTTTCCATTTATGTAATCATTGTATCAATTATTAATCAAGCACTTAAAGCTCCACAGTGATGAAATGACAACGGAGCCTGTGAAATGTTTTTTTTTCCTTCGATGAAATAAAAAAAGTGAAATTGTAAATCCGCATTCTGTGAATGTAAGAATTTGGTGGCGCGTCTAGTCTTGGTATAAATAATATAGAAATCTATGGACAGCGTAAATAATATAGAAATTCATGGACAGCGTCTAGGTAATACTAGACAGTCTACGACAGTTTGCGCAATTGAATTTTCTACTTTGAAAACAAAGGAAGGATTATCATTTTTGAAATTCAAAATTCACGATAACCCATAACCGCAGACCACCTGTAGGAGCCAAGCTGAGCTAAAACATGTCTATATTTGGTAATAGAGACTCGCTTGCTTCCGGCGGTTATCATCGGTCGGTATTCCACCGAATTACAAGATCGTTTGAAAAATCTCGAATTCAATTGAAGGTTCGTTAATTCAATTGCCATTAGAATTGAAACGAGTGCAATATTACTGCTTGGGCTTCGATGGTTTTTGCCTTGCGATGAACCATCTCGTAACCTCTCGATTTCCGCTTGATGTCACGAACTTACGTCACGTTTGAAATGAGCTTCATGACTTCGTCCAATCGTGTGACAGAACGGATATCCTTGCATATATAAACCGCACCAAAGCCTACACCCATCACTACACGCTTGTGTCTATTGATCAAGTTGTTTATTGTTTCGAGGTTACATAGTAAACTTTTACTTCTTTTACAAAATGGCTGACGAGGACGTTGCTGCTTTGGTCGTGGACAATGGCTCCGGTATGTGTAAGGCCGGATTTGCAGGAGACGATGCCCCTCGTGCAGTGTTTCCATCCATCGTCGGTCGCCCAAGACATCAGGGTGTAATGGTTGGTATGGGTCAGAAAGACTCATATGTCGGCGATGAAGCTCAGAGCAAGCGAGGTATTCTGACTCTGAAATATCCCATTGAACACGGCATCGTAACCAACTGGGATGACATGGAGAAGGTAAGCTAAATGTTAAATAGTTTCTATCTCAAGTACCCAGTTCGCACCAATCGCTCAACAACGTTTCCTTCTAATTTCAGATCTGGCATCACACCTTCTACAACGAGCTTCGTGTAGCGCCCGAGGAACACCCAGTTCTACTGACCGAGGCTCCTCTCAACCCAAAAGCCAACAGAGAAAAAATGACACAGGTAACATTTACGACAGACGTTAAATTTGTTGCTCTGTTGTCGCGTCCGTGTCTTCCAGCCGGCGCACCCTGTTTCGCTGGGCTAGAAATTTCAAATTTTTTGGATTCCCTTGTTGTTCTAGGTGAAAAGTTTACTATTGTACTAAGCCCTCCGCATGCCACTACCAGCGATCAGATAATTGAACCGTTTTCTTGAATACATCGGTGACACGTAAATTAATCTCGGATTAGGTCTATTGTAATTCTTTCTCGCAAACTAGAAACGGAAATTCAGGTCTAAGAAGGGAACTTGAAGCGAAACAGGGCGAGGTTTGCGAAAATATGAAATGTCGCAGCCGGTGTGAAAAAATCTTGGTAATGCCTTTCGACCAAAGAGATTGTAGGAAAACAGATCGAGGTTCGTTTGTCATTTCTCTGATATTAAGCAAACAATGGTAGTCTCATTCCAAAATGTAAATTTAGTCACCGCTGATGTTGAGTACATGATACATTTCCACATATGGTCACGACGCCACCTCATTGGTCAGGTCCAGCAAGATTACGGACTTTAATCTCGGTCAAGCGTGGCAGTATTTTCGCTCTATTAACGCAAAATATTCAGGAAATTCACATCAAGTGTAGCAATCAAAGAAATTTTTGATTTCATGGCACTACTTTTAACACATGACAGTGCATATTGTTTTTTCGCTTGTGAGAATTTTCAAAACAATTGTGCAAGCCTTGTTTACGACGTGCGAGTCGATTAGAAAATGGATTAATTCGCTTGTTAATAATAGCTTGAAAGCATTATTATATCAGTCTGCCAACATATTGTCATTCTCGACTGACCAGAATTCTCTCTTTTCCCTTCAGATTATGTTCGAGACGTTTAACTCCCCAGCCATGTATGTAGCTATCCAGGCTGTGTTGTCTCTCTATGCCTCTGGTCGAACAACTGGTATCGTCTTTGACAGTGGAGATGGTGTGAGTCACACAGTTCCCATCTACGAAGGTTACGCTCTTCCCCACGCCATCCTTCGTCTCGATTTGGCCGGCAGGGACTTGACTGATTACTTGATGAAGATTCTGACAGAGCGTGGCTACTCCTTCACCACCACAGCTGAGCGCGAGATTGTGCGTGACATCAAAGAGAAGCTCTGTTATGTCGCTCTTGATTTCGAGCAAGAAATGCAGACTGCTGCATCCAGCTCTAGCTTGGAGAAGAGCTACGAGCTTCCTGATGGCCAGGTTATCACCATTGGAAACGAGCGATTCCGTGCACCAGAGGCCATGTTCCAACCCTCTTTTCTTGGAATGGAATCTGCTGGCATCCATGAGACCACATACAACTCTATCATGAAGTGTGATGTGGATATCCGTAAGGATTTGTACGCCAACACAGTGTTGTCTGGTGGCTCCACTATGTTCCCAGGAATTGCCGATAGAATGCAGAAGGAAATCACTGCTCTGGCTCCACCCACGATGAAGATCAAGATCATTGCTCCTCCTGAGCGTAAATACTCTGTGTGGATCGGAGGATCGATCTTGGCGTCACTGTCCACCTTCCAACAGATGTGGATTTCCAAGCAAGAATATGATGAATCTGGTCCCTCAATTGTTCACCGAAAGTGCTTCTAAACAGGAGCACGTGTCGTCTTTCGTGAAGACAAAAGAACGAACAGACTTTGACTGACCCAGAATTGCAATAATATTTCTTAGAAGACTCTTTTCTTTTTTCTATTATATGTACACGTTGTGATAGCTTTTATAAGAATATTTACAATAAAATTTTCTCAAGTCAAAAATTAAACAGTTGGAAGGTATATTTTTTTCCTTTTGCGGTGGTTTGGTCTTTGTTGGTGACCTAAGTATTTCGGGCAAGAGGCAGTTTTTAAGGATAAAGGAAAATCTAAAACCTTTTAGAAAAACGATCAGCCCTGTCTAAGCGTAGGAGAGCCCTTGGAGTGATTTATATCTAATTTCTCCTTGCAGTATCGCTGTTGAATCACAAACTCGGTTTATCAGAATAAAGGTGATCGCTACCTCGAGAAGCCCTGAACTGTTAGAAAACAAGAGTCTTTTTGTCAGTACAATAGGAAATGTCTAAAGAACTGTTTGGAGAATACGCAAACTGATGTTTGGGACCAAGGGGGTAAATATATAATTTGGAGATCTTACAGGTAATTGCAAGGATGATTTTTCGGAGAATAAATATCGAGAGGTCTACGTGAACTTGCGGAATTCAGTAATTCATGAGTAGGGGGTACTTGTTTGTCCGGTGAATATCTCGACACAAAGCAGCCCAAAATTACGAAACCTATTGAAGTCTACAGAAATACACGTATGTGGGACGTCGAGGAAAAACGTTCCGATTAGATCCTAGGCACCACCACTGGACCAAACTCCAAAATTACCTGTCTTCTCCACAGCTGTTGATTGGCCTCGTCACGCAGTGGAGTTGGCGCATTGCGTGACGACAGCAAATATCGGCTGCAAAAATACTGCATAAGGTCACTGCCTCTATTCTACGCCCAAAAAAAAAAAAAAAAAAAACTGAAGAACCACGAAATTGGAGTGCTTCAACTTGGCCGCTTACTCAATGGTTAGATGATGAGTTGCGCCCGTTTCCTGGCTTACATGGTTGGTCTAAGGTAGTTGGAAAGCTCTCGTTAAGTCGCGATGAAGAGGTTCAAAGACCTTCCGTCTAAGATAAATTAAGATCGCTCAGGACAACTTAGTATTCTTTGTGGATTTTCTAAGGTCTTAACACGCACTCTCCGTCACGGCTGCGAAGGAGACTGGTGAATACTAGGAAGGAGAGTTTTCTTTGTTATTATTGGAGGCAGAAGGAACAGGGTAATATATGTTACTAAAATTACCGGGCAAAAAACGGCGAGAAAATGTCACACACTTTATATTGATTTAATGCTGTACAAACAAAATAAAACTTTTTTGAATATTTACAAAACGTTGTTTATATCACTGTATCAGAAAAAAAATAAAGTGATTATAGTTAAATTTCTGCGGGTTCAATTTTACAAAATGCCCTGACCGGCCCTGACCGGTTCTGACCGGTTCATTGTGATCTTGTCGATCCTTGTTGATAGATTCTGCATAATGGCCTGCGTTTGAATCATTCTACCATGGACGTCTTGCCTAGGCACCTGAGAACAACCACGTTAGAAAAAAAGTTAATGAAGTCGTACAGTAGATCAACTTCATTATCTGAGTACGACGCACTCACCCCTCCCCTAACCCCACATTATCCCCTAAATTGTTATCAGCAGACCGTTGTTGGGTTAGGGGAGGGGTGGGTGCATACTGGCTCAGACGTTGACACTGATCTGAAAAATTGAAAAATGTCCACACAGTCCCCCCCCCCCCCGTATTGACATTTGAGCTAAGGGAATGGTAGTGGGGATGTTCAATCTCAAGTAACGCTGCACGAATGTAAGCGTTGCGTGACCAGGAGAGAAGCAATACGGGACGTGATACAGGTAAATGGTGGTATTCTTGTGCACATAAACTTTTAGTCTCTATTGTTTTTTCCTTCTTAGGTTCACAAACACTAGGAAGACAGTACCTCACGACACAGTGTTAGCTTTTTGACTTGACAAGCATAATTACTAACCTTGTAAAATAAGCCAGAGTTTTTCTCGCTTCCCTGAAAGATAAACAGAGAACAATTATTGATGACGTTCATTAAAAAGCTTTCCAATCGAAATCTGTTATTCAATGCTGGAAAATTGACTGATCAAAACTAAATTTTTCACCCTTTTTCTCACTTTTCAGATAAAACAATGTTATAGTATACTATCTCCTTTAATATCCTTACGTTGCTAGCGCCCCTTCGCCTTTCTCCCGCTCCCTAAGGCTTCGAATAATTCTTGGATCGTTCCACTCCATATAACCGAATGCTCTCACAACCTGAAGTACAGAAGATAGCTTTTTTTACTATAGATAACTGAGTTCTTAAATTAGCGAGATGACAGCCAACACACTGGGCGTTTCGGCACATTTTTGCCTGATAGTCTTAGAAAACTCAGTAACGCATTTCTTAAAGGTCTCCTGTTTTCCCGACAATGCATGTGCGTCGCAAGGATTCAAACATATTTCGAGAAGACTTTGTGAAACAAAAGACACGGAGTACTTTACGTCACCTGTATTCTGACGTAAACACTAGAATCCAGTTCTAATATGTCCAATAAAGCCTTCATTTCTTTCACTCCCTTCATTTCTAGAGTAGCCTGCGGAGTGAAAATATGAATTATTCACGCTTATGGTATGTTGCCAACTTGTGAGGCCAACAATGAGACGCCTCTAAGTGGCGAAACAAAAACAAATGATCAGAATTCAGCTTTGCATTGAGAGCCCTGATAATGAAAGCTTGACCTCCATACGCTAACCTTGGGATACATATTCTCCATACTTCCTTCTATATATATTCTATGGCACTAGCAAGGAGAATTTGTTTAACAATCTTAATTTTCTTTACTCTTATGGCCTCAATGCTTAATTCAGGGCGGAGGGGAGGGGGGGAGGTATTAAAGACTTATTACGTGTCTGGATAGAGCAGTTCAGAGACTGTAAGTCATTTTATGGCGGAAAAAAGAGGAGGGGAGGGGAGGGAGGGGGAATTTGATGCTAATCACCTTTGGGAGTTGAATGGTTTGTTGCCTTAGAAAACAAGTAATGGTAACGACGACAAAATAGTTGATGATAACGAAAAGAAAGAGACAACGACAACAATAATGATAATGATAATAACAATAACAAACAAAAGATAAACAAAAAAAGGAACAAAAAAGAAATAAATGAATAAATAAATACGACCATAAACGTTATATCGTTTGATGAAATCTTCATTTACATACCAAGGAAATGACCGCACGCCCTCGAACTTCTTCCGTTGGGTCTTCTAGCCGTCTAATTGAAATGCGAAATCAAACTGACGGTTAACAGTAAGCAAAGAGTTTTTGACGGCTCTTTTAGTTGGATATTGAACACCCAAGATCAAGACCAAAACGATCAAAATGGTCAATCACAACAAGCAACCCCACCCTCCCCACCAAAAGAATCTCAGAAGCACCCCCCACCCTCCCCCCAGAGGAATCTCCAAGAGAACCAAACAAAGTGGAGACAAGCAAAATATGGATTCTATTTGGGTAACGACTTCACGTAAAGCGCTCCATTTTAGCTCGTTTCAGGCAGTCAGCATGTGAGGACGACCGAAAAAGCGAGGTGAGCTTGAGAAAAAAACGACAGGGAACTAAGGAAAAAGGGTCACTCCTCTTTTAAACTCCGCCAATTTTCATTGGCACTCTTATTCTTTCGTCTCTACGGTCAGAGAGCCTGACATACGCTACCTATATTATGTGATAGAAAAAAGGTGTGAGAGATAAATTCTAGATTTAAAACGTACCTTAGAACCAGTTGACATGCTCTTTGTCGCAAGTCAAGTGAGCTTAGTGCTTCGGACACTTTCCTTCTCAGTTCCTACAATTCAAAGCGGAATATCAAGAAACAAAACTAAATAGTTTTGACGAATTCAGTGATAGAAAGATTCTAACGATCACTTTACAAAACGCATGATGCACGATCCTCGCAGTAGATAGCGCTATTTAAGCAATAGCGAAAATCAGACCTGAAAAAAAATCAGGCCTGTCGGGATTCGAACCACTGACCTCTAGCGCTATCTACTGCGAGGATCGTGCATCATACGTATCTAATACCGCAGTTCAAAATATATGAACTTCATATATTTCATTGTATCTACTTTACAAAACCTCGTGTTTCGATGCTTCGAGCAGAAAATATTTGCTACTTTGTTTGCACTGAATTTGAATATATGAAAATCATATATGTGCACTGTGGTTTTAAGAAACGTATGACAGCAACCTCGCAGTAAATATATCTTATCAGACGTTTTGTTGTGTAGTATTGCTGAGTATTTTTACGAGTTGTGCCGTATTTTGACAAGCCCATAGGGCGAGTCAAAATACAAACAACGAGTAAAAATATTCAGCGTTACTACACAACAAAACGTCTACTAAGAGATTTATTATCCAAAACACCAAATTGTTATTTCAGTGCGGGCGAATTTCGCGGATATTTCTGGAGTACAAATATCGCGTGATATTTGTACTCGTCTCGCGCGTTATTTGTACGAAGCACAATTGGATAATGACTAACACTACTACATAAATATATCTTATTAACCAAGCGCGAGGGCCGTACTGGGAGAATATCGGTCCGAGGTCTTGACAGTACGGAACGAGCGCAGCGAGGTCCGTACAAAAAAGACCGAGGGCCGATATTCTTCCGGTACGGTCCCGAGCAAGCTTGGTTAATAAGAGATTTATTATACGACTGAAGTTCAAAGGGACACAAGTGCGGTATCATTCGGGACCATTCGGGACAGTGCCCGGTCCAATACTCAGAGAATATTGACCGGCAATAGAGCATTTTGATTGGTTGATTTTAGTTATTGGCCCTCTGACTGCCCGAGTCGTGTAATAAGTAGTGTTCATTACTGCGAGGATCGCCTTCATACATTTGTTTACATTTTAACATAGTGTACCTTGTTAGCATGATCCCAAAGAAGCTTTTCCAGTGTATCAAACACTTCATCCGGACTTTTCACCTTAAAGACGTCTCTTGGTCCTGAAATTGCCGAAATGAAAAAAAATAACAAAATTAAGTAAACAATTGAAAGGCAAACTTCGTGGGGTCGTTCAATGACTGGCAAACAATATACATTGACAATTTTACTATTTTCCGTTTTCCGTAAACGTTGTGCTTAACCTCTAAGTCAACGTCTAAATTACAGTCTGTAGCTTAAAACTCCTTGAATTTGACAAAAGACAAAGTACTTATTAAAGAAAACAAATGAACAAACACAACCTCCACGTACCAATAAAAATGAGTAAATCAGCTGCTTCCATTCTTAGCTGTCAAACAAAGGGGCAAAACAAAGTCAAAATGAACTTTTTTCTGACAATTTTTCCCACTGAATGTCAACAGATGTCTTTATTTTGATTCTAGCTGCATAAGCGTACAAAACTCATGCAACATGCTCTGACAGTCATCTTGTAAACAAATACCCTTTTGTTAAAGCAAACACAAACTCAATCCAAAGACGTATCTTCTCTTGTGCGCTGACCTTCACTACGATTCTTTGATGAACTCGATAGAGTGAAATGGAAAATAACGACACAACCTCACCTTCCAGTTATGAGCTGTGTTCAGTTGTTCTAATAACGCATCCAAGACCAGTTTTTCCGTGCAGTTCATTTGTTTAATCAAAACGTACAATGCCTATGGGAAAACAAAATAATGATATTCGAGAGTTTGATAGTTTTAATAGGCCAATTGCACATTTGTATGGTTTATTCAGTTGTCTGGCCTACTTCATAAACAGCTTTCAATGTTGAGGTTTTGCTCAACTGGCTGAGGCAGTTTCTTCTGGGGGAGGAAAGTATAACCACCATAAACATGTGGTTCTAAGGGTGGGGGAAAGTGACCCTCACTCTTGATACACAAAAATTGATCTTGATAAGTCCCTTACATCAGGTCGTAATAATAGCAAGTATGATAGAGAAATGTAAGAAATATACAACGTTTTTGAAAGACATGTTTCGGCATGCATATGCCATCTTCAGTCAATGAGTAACTGAGTGTGAACAATTATATAGTATACAAGTAGATGAATAAATTATTTACAATATGATGTAATACAGAAGCGGGTACTAATTACAATGTGACACCAAAACATCAAAGGTGTAAACTAGAACGCTAGAAAAGTGTTATAATGCTGTAATTGTTTGTTAAGTTCAGGTTTGATCTTATTTATATAAAAATCTTCTTTTAGTTTTAAATCAATTGAGTTGTTAACAGAATCCAAAATACTAAAACAAGAAGGGGAGTATTTGTTCTTACAAATACCCTTACATCAATTTAGGACACCTCCCCCCCCTCAACCTCGTCCACAAACTACTGAAGTCTAAGCTTGTTTTCAGTTGGTTAAAAATACTGCATCTCTATGTCCCCAGTAGCGACTACCTAATGGTAATAAAATAGTTTTCTTTTTTTCGGGGAGGGGGAGGTGGAGCTGTTGATTTACTTAAAGACTAAATCTTACCTCTCCTTTTTCCTGTGGAGATAATTCAGAAAGTCTGGTGATGAGGTACATCTTTGAGACTGGTTCAACCACACACAGTCGTCCCAGACTCACTGATGCATGAAATGCTAGCTCGGGAGACTGGGTCTTTACGGTGTGTATTAGTAAACTGACCATCTGCTTGAACTCTTGGGTAGTCTGAAATAAAAGGTGATTGCTTTATCAATTCTCCCCTTTTGTGTGCTTCATAATGTTCTGAATTTTTGAAGGAACATTCTTTTGTGCTAGAAAATATATATCCTCAATTTTGGGATCAGTACCAACTAAAAGGCAGAAGAAAGACTAACTGTAGTTACCTTGTCCACAAAAGCTATATCTCTAGCTTTGGTCATTATTGATAATAATTCCAACACAACATCCTTGTTGCCTGGAAAGATAAGTAACATTTTAAATTCAACTGGATCAATTAAACTGAAAAACATGCAAAAAAAAGCTAATAGTACCCCATAGCCCAGTAAAGTTATGAGTGGAGGAAAAATTCCCTCACCAACATTTCATCATCACTTGTGCCCAAAACTTCTCTTGTGAAATGATTTTATTATTCTCTGTTGAAAACCACATTAAGAAATGACAAGTTTTACATGCAGATTTCTCCCCAGAAATGAATCACACTGTTTTTTGTCCTGTTTTGAGTAAAAATTATTGGTGCTTTACATTTTTTAAAGAAATCATAGTAATTACTAAAGTCTTTTCCTAACAATATCCAGGCTTCCATGTTACCCAGTCTTCTTACCTCTCTTGATGTACTCTCTCATCACTGCCATACCATATGGATCCCATGTCCCTAATGTAGAATAAATGAACCATTGTAACAACCATTTAGGTATAGATACAAAAATCCCCTAAAATGGCCTACAAATCTTTCCAGAAATTGTCCTAAAAATGTCTATAAAACTCATTTTTATATCTCTAAAAGTTTTGAAATTTTTCAAAAAACCCTGATTCATCTGAAAATTGTTTTCAAATAGTCACATAATTTGCAACAGATGTGAGATTCCTGCATGGAAGCACCCTAAAACTGATTAAAAATGATAATTTTATTGCTAGACAATTTAAGTGGTCTGTCTCCTCACACATTTCCCTCTCAAACAAACCATAAGGAAAATAAACAGTTGGCAGAGCAAGTTCTAAAAACCATGTAAAATTGATTTTATGCTATTGACTGTATTTTTCTAGACATAACCATCTAAAAAACCTTAAATGTTCTAAAAATCCTGTTTGACTCTAAATATCTGAAAAAAAAAGTCCAAATTTTTGTATCTAGTCTAACAACCATTTTATGTTCACATGCCCACCTGCCTTGGTCTTTAATTATCAATGACTTTTTTTTTAGTAAAAAAAAAAAATATATATATATATATATATATAGAATGTGTGGTAGTCGGAAAAAAACAACTACAGATACATCCCTACAGACCTATTTCGCAGTTNCATTAGCACTGCACTGATGAGGCCCAGAAGGCCGAAACAGTACTGTCTGCAGTTAGTTATATATATATATATATATATATATATCAAGACAAGGTCTAGTACAGGAGATTGAAATTCAAACATTTACTTAAATGTGTCCCAGCAACTAAACAAATATTGTTGTGTCTCAGAGTGTGGCTGTGAAATGTTTATCTCCAGGAAGAAAATAATTAAACTGATGCTGATCTAAAAAAGAAAAAGAAATAATTCACCTAATAAGATTAGTGCCTTGCTTGCTTCATAGCAGACCTTTGGGTCTTTTTGTTGTTTTAACTGAAAAAGAGAATTAGGATATTAATACATACATATATGTAGTCCTTTTGATAGTTTGAGTGCCATATTTTTTATTTTGCTGCATCTGAGTTCTTAAAAATTGGCTCTAAATGACAGTGAAAAGATTTTCAAGAGTCACATAATATATATGGTAAATACTCGAAATAAACATATGATGTTGTTTATTTGCAACTGTTTTTTTACAAAACAACCATGTCACATCAGGCTATGATTTCAAAAAATCTATTAAAGTAGCCTTTTATAAGTGCCCCCTCTGTAGTTTTCAATTTTTATTGAATAATTTGAGAGCTAGCTGTTCATTTTAAACACTCATTCAGGGCTCCACACTAACGGTAGCCCACTAGCCACAGACTAGTAGAAATTCAGTTTTGGCTTAGTTGTTTTCAATTCACACTAGCCAGTTTGGCTTGTAAACAGACTGAAATTGTCGTAACATCTAAAAACATCTAAGATGCCACTAGCCACTTGGCTAGTAAGTTAAAAAGTTAGTGTTGAGCCCTGTAATTTGAAACACTCGTAAGATAATTCAAAATAATTCTCCCCATACTATCCATACATTATCCACTAGCAAACAGGTGATGAGAATTAATACCCAAATTTATCAGGTAGAAGTTGTTATAGATTTATCCAAAACCAAATTCTCGTAACTAATTCATTAGGAAATGTGTACTTAAGCTAGAGGAAAGAATGGTGACAGTGCTCACCTTCCACCAATGTTTCCGGGTTCGAGTCCCGGACCCGGCATCATAAGTGGATTGAGTTTGTTGGTCCTCTACTCTGCTCCGAGAGGTTTTTCTCCGGGTACACCGGTGTTCCCCTCTCCTCAAAAACCATCATCATTTGAATTTATTTAATTTAGAGTTTATTTAGATTTACACACGACCCCACAAGCTGTTCAGCTTTAAACATTATCATGTCAAAATAAAGGTGTTATTATTATTATTATTATTATTATTATTATTATTATTAATGAACAAGTAGATCTTAAGAGTTATAACAATTTGATCTTAAGAGTAAAAGGGTGAATTGGAAAAATACATACCACTTCAGTCAAGGTATCTATAACACACTTCTCGCGGCACTTGAGCTGGCCAATAGTCTAAATACACATGTAAGAGGATCAAATATTTGTAAAAAGAACCATAATCACATTTAACTTGTAGAGGGATCCAAAGAAAGAATATTTGGAGGTTAAAGCGAGCAACTCAGAGTCAGTAATTCAAGGGGGTTTCTTTTTTATATTGGCCTGAATGGCTATATGTGCCAAACAGGATATGGTTTTCAGGGTCTTGTGTCTCAACCTGCGATGATGAAGGAATGGGACAACCTTGAGTAAATTGTATGCATTTTACAGTGCTTGGGCTGCATATGTGGTAATGACAATAATTTTTCACCTTTAATTATTATGAAAAGTTTTTGTTGCCAATTTTATAGGCAGTGTCATGGTGCGCTAATAATAACAATGTTAAATTTCAGCATCCATGCACTGGCCTTGAATCAAACATGAAGGTTGTGAGTTTAAAAGAAATGATCACCCACAAAAAACCATGATGACTGTTGGGCAAATTCTTCTTGTGAGTACAATAGAAAATGTAAAAAGAATTGTAAGGAATTTACTGTGTGATGGATGTCCTCCCCTGGGGTGGGAATGGGTGGGTTGTTGTCTTGCATTTCATACATGAGCCTCTGACTCGGGCAATATGGGTAACCATGCCCCATGTAAAGACATTATAAACTTTGATTACTATTACAATTACTATTACTAAGGAGAGTATACATACAAAGTTAAGGGTGTAAAGTGTTATTAAGTGAGCATTAACCTTTACAGCTTCAGCAGCTATTGTTGAATTTGAAGATAGCACACCTCTTTCACTCAACAAAGTCTACAACAAGATGATTCTTTCATTAATACAACAATTTAAATGTATACTGCTGCAAGGATATTTATATTAGTGGTCATCAATGAAAATTAATTACATATTGGTTAATGAACTAAATAGTCCTTATACCTGAATTCTTTTCCACCTGGGATCATCACCTTCTACAACTAACGACTGTTCTCTCTCCACTGGTGAAAACCCTGTTGAGTCAACCTTAAGATGTCACTTAATGGCAAAAATTATCTACTAGTTATTAATTATCAATTATTGCAAAAGGGAATTCCAGTAGATGTAGACAATCCTGAATGAATTGATGAAAAATAAATATAATTATACTTTTATATTGCCAGAGGAACAAACCAATGAAAACAAAAAGTGCCTATAGTTAAACTCTTCAACTTTTGGACAAGCTTAACAATAACCCTCTCTTTCACAAAGTCAGTTCAATATCTACAAAACATGAGATGGTCAAGAGAATGTACAAACTGAATATCAGAATTATCCCCTGCCACACCCCTCTCGCAACACACAAACAAACGAGACAGAGAATCTGTTTGGGCATCTTTAATAAAAAATGAGAGGCCTCCGGGGGCCCAAGGAGACCCCAAGGGGGGGGGGAGGGTGAACAAAACAACTCGAACGAGCGAACGAGCGAAACAAAATGATCATATTACACTGATGTGTCAGTCAGTGACAAGCCGGTAATGGCGTGGAGTCCTGGGACTAATTAAGTTATTCCCTAGGAATTATCAATTATCCCCTGCCACACCCCTCTCGCAACACACAAAAAAACCAGACAGAGAATCTGTTTGGGCATCTTTAATAAAAAACGAGAGGCCTCCGGGGCCCGAGGAGACCCCAAACAGAAAGAAAGAGGCCCAAACAGATTCACAGGGGAGGAAAAGGAGACAAGGAGATAAAACTATCCGCTAGAGAAGAGAGGCTGAAAGTTTCTAAAGAAACTGTGGTGCTGCGTCGGTGGGGGTAACTAGATAATTGGTTATATCAACTAAGTTGAAATAGTAAATTGGCCACCATAATGAATAAAAAAGCTGACATTTCGAGCGTTAGCCCTTCTTCAGAGCGTTAGCCTTTCGCTAGAGAAGAGAATTGACTGATCATCAGGAGCCGGGGGATAAGTTTCTTAGCAGTGAACCCTTTTATTCCCAATATATCATTTCAGTAATTCTTCATACTGAAAGTGACTTCCATACAATTTTTATGATCTTGGTTCAGAGAATTTGGTACTTGATTTTTTTCCTTTATTCTCACCACTTGTCTGCTTGATGTTGTATTGATATTGTAAGGAGAAATTCTGTGTTAATTAACACCATTTCGTGATAAACTACTGTACTATACCTTTCAAAGCCATTACTATTTTCTACAGCACAGCTGGCCTCCACAAGGATGTGTTGGCAAGATCTCTAAAATTGTTAAAAAAAAAACTATTAATATCAACAAAAATGTGCAGATACTATTTCTTTACATGGAAATGCATGAGTTAAAAAAATCTTTTGATAGCTATATCTGTTAACTAGGTTTACTGAAACGCCA